AAAAAAAAAAAAAAAAAAAAAGGAAAGGTAAAAGACCACCACTAGCAGATAACACAAGTTCAGTATTGTGATTTCTGAGCTAATAACCTTTGAGGGATGAGAAAAGGCAATTTAAAAAGGGATAAACCAAAGCAGGAAGGAGTGACAGTTTATAGCTTCATCAGGAGTCAAAAAATTGAATATATAAAAATAAACCTAAGAACGAAATAGCATTTGACAGAATAACAGCATAATGGTATTGGCAATGGAGTTTATATAAAAGTAAAATAAAAACAAACTCAAGAACCTGAAAGTATTACAAATGACAAAGGCAAATTTATAATGACCACACCTTGCGTTACATTTATGAAAATAATGTGTTAATTGTTAACTTTAAACAGGAAAGGATAAATTTAATCAACTGTTTAAAAAGATGTGAAAAACATAAAAGAATGTTTAAAGCACTTCCCAGCACTCCCCAAACACATCAGTTATAATTTTTTCTCCTTGTTACTTGAAAAGGAAGAACCATCTAGTTTCATTGTGAAAACCAGATGTGTAAATACTAACTTTAACAACAAGAGGAGTTTCAAGCAAACGTAATTCTGAAACTCTGGAGATGGTCTGAGGTGATCCTTTTAATTGCGAACTTGAAGGCAGTGAACGGGATACGAGGTACAAAGGAGATCTCATGGAGCTTTGCTGAATAAACTCTGAACACTGAGAAGGTTGGGGGACAGGCTGAACAACCAAATCCAGCAGTCTGGAATGAGAATATGCATTTATTGAGTTATACTGAAAAACCAAAAGAATTTAGTATCCATTTAATCAGACTTCCACGTTCACTGGTAACTATGATAACCACATGCAAACACAAATTCAGTCAAGAGTATTAATGTAATCCAAAGTGCCATCATGCATGTAAAAAGTCAGAAAATTATTTCATAGCAAAATAAAAAATTAAGAACTGCATGTAGCAACTGATTTTTCAAAAGAGTTCAAGTCGTCCTCCTTACCTTTACCTACATTTTCTGAGTTCTCACATGTGCCCAGCATTTATTTTCAAATAAGGATGAACTGGCAATGATGTAAAATACTAAAGCACACAGGACAAGGCTTCCCTGGCAAACCGTTTACTAAAATTCATTAACATGTAAAACATCCCTTCACCTGCATGTAATATATATAATGAATATTGGTTCCTTTTGCCTTTATGGTTCTCACTGCCGTGAAGACTAGTGACCACCCCCTCCAAAAGTTAACTTCTTCAAATTAATGAGTTTGGTGACAAAGTACAATCTTAAGATTCTACTACAAGGCTTTCCATTATGTCCTAGTCCCGGTGATAAAACTGATCCCACTGATTACTTGTACTGAACATGTATAATCCAAGTGAGTTTTAAAGCTTAATTTATAGATACATAATTTAAGCTCAAAAGTAGAGTTTTCAGGTAATAATTTTTGGTGGACCATTTGCACAGGTCACTCCTTTCTCAATTTCCTAATAAACAGTCTATTTTATGGTTCGATATTCTAGTGGTGAAAACAATCCTTTTTTACTTCCCCCAAATGCCAACGTGGCTCACCTGAGAATAACCAGAAAAAAGTACAGGATGCTTTGGAGGCCAGAAATAAAAGCTGCTGGTTGCTGTGCCTTCCTTTTCATCGATAGGCGTATCGATGAGCATTTTGCTATTAGGGGTGGCAGACCAACACGGGTGATAGCGAGGAAATATTTAAAGGTCTTCCCACTTGTTATTCTGTATCAAACACAGCTTTTACATTTCTACCAAACCAAGATTATCTAATCAGGCTGCTAGATATTTCTTTTTTTCTGATTCTCTTCTCTATTCATTTGCATTTAAATTCTGTGCTTGGAAAACAGTTTGCTCACTTTTATACTGAGCTATCCCAAAGGAACATTTTGTTAAATGTTTTGCATGTGTTAGTATTTATGTTTAATGGACTTATTTATGAATGACAGCTTCTCAAAAGCAAGGCCTGTGTAACCTACTGAGTCAAAGCAGAACTCCTACATCAACAAAACTGATTTTGTTTTTTTTTTTGAGACAAAGTTTTCCTCATTGCCGAGGGTGGAGCACAACGGCATGGTCTCGGCTCACTTGCAACCTCTGCCTCCTGGGTTCAAGTGATTCTCCTCCCTCAGCCTCTCAAGTAGCTGGGATTACAGGCATGCACCACCAAGCCTGGCTAATTTTGTATTTTTAGTAGGGACGAGGTTTCTCCATGTTGGTCAGGCTGGTCTCGAACTCCCAACTTCAGGTGATCCATCCACCTCGGCCTCCCAACTGCTAGGATTACAGACGCCAGCCACTGGACCCGGCCAAAAAAAGGTTTTAAGAACTACTTTTAAGATATTTTCTAAATGAAATATTAAATATTGCACTAGGTCTCAGGACTTCAACAAATGTTTTTTTTTTTTTTTTTTT